TTTGCACTGCAATTGTACAATCTCTTTTCATCATCTTCCTTTTCCTTCGCCTCTCTCCTGCATTATATCTCCTGCTTTCTTTTTCTTTTGAGGCCGAGTTTCACTCTTGTTGCCCAGGCTGGAGTGCAGTGGTGCCACGTCAGCTCCCTGCAACCTCCGCCTCCCGGGTTCAAGCGATTCTCCTGCCTCGGTCTCCCCAGTAGCTAGGATTACAGGCATGCACCACACCACGCCCAGCTAATTTTTGTGTTTTTAGTAGAGATGGGTTTCACCATGTTTGCCAGCCTGGTCTCGAACTCCTGACCTCAGTTGATCCTCCTGCCTCAGCCTCCCAAAGTGCTGGGATGATAGGTGTGAGCCACTGCACCTGGCCAGGATCTCCTGCTTTCTGAAATCACATCTTTTTCTTTTTTGGTTTATGTTCTCACTTTGGAAGAACATGTCCTCCAGTAGCTTCTTGGGAAAGGACGCATGGGAGGTAATATTATCTATGATGACAAATGTGTTTATTCTATCCTCATACTTACTGGACAGTTTAGCTGGGTATAGAATTTTAGGCTGGTGTCTTAGTTAAGAAATAGACCCCAATACACTGTAGTTCAAAAAGATAGGAGTTTACTCTCTTATACTGACAGTTCGGAGGAAGCAGGCAGGAAGAGAAAGTTACCGAGGCACCGAGTTTGTTTCCAATTCATTGTTCCACTATTCCCTAGTCAATACTAAACCAGCTCATCAGCAACACACCTGAATTCAAGCCCTCAAGAAGGGGAAAAAGGAAGCAGAGAGCAAGGGATTTCCTCTGAAATTGTGACTGAGAAAGCTGCACACACACTGCTGTGTCCTGTTGGCTCCTGAGGAGTGAAGTTATTTTCTAGTCCATCTGTTTCACTCAGAGTGTTGCCTTTTGGGAGTTTCAGTTTTATACAAGTGATCTAGATCCAACATTGTACCACATGAGGGCCCTGGAATTAGTGTTCTATCTTCTATGTATGAGGCCCATTAAAACCGCAAATCCTAGGCCCCAAAGATAGGCAAAGGCCCTAGCAGAGCCATCAGTTTAAGCCCTAAGGCTTCTCAAACTCTGAGTAGCATGCCCACCCCTCATCACTGCCTACAAAGCCCCAGATGCTATGGCCCTGCCATCTCACTGCCCGTATCTCTTCCTCTCCACCACTCACACATCAGGCCCCAGCCTCTCCAGTCTCCTTGCTGTCCCAAGCTCTTTCCTACACCTCCCAGCCTTTTCAGAGGCCACTCCTCTGCCTGAAGACTCTTCCTCCTGATACCCATTCAGTTTGTTTCCTCCGCCATCCTGTTCAAATGTCACCTCTGAGACCTTTGCTTACCACTTTGAGCAAAATAGTCCCTTATCGCTACCTCCTACCCTTCTACTTTTCCTCAGGGCACCCAGCACTCCTAAAATGGCATTTTTCTTGAGACAGGGTCTTGCTCTGTCGTTGCCCAGGCCGCAGTGCAGTGGCATGATGACGGCTCGTTGCAGCCTTGACCTCCCAGCTCAAGCAATCCTCTCGCGTCAGCCACTTGAGTAGCTGGGACTACAGGCACATGTCACCATGCCTGGCTAGTTTTAAAATTTCTTGTAGGGTGTCTCACTGTGTTGCCCAGGCTGGTCTCAAACTCCTGGGCTTAAGTGATCCTCCCACCTTGGTCTCCCAAAGTGCTGGGATTACAAGCATGAACCCCACCATGCCCGGCCGGTATTTTTATTTATTCGTTTATGGTCTGACTGTGGGGAAAAGAAAGAGAGATCACATTGTTACTGTGTCTATGGAGAAAGAAGTAGATATAAGAGACTCCATTTTGTTCTGTACTAAGAGAAATTCTTCTGCCTTGAGATGCTGTTAATCTGCAACCCTAGCCCCAACCCTGTGCTTGCAGAGACATGTACTGTGTTGACTCAAGGTTTAATGGATTTAGGGCTGTGCAGGATGTGCTTTGTTTAAAAAAGTGCTTGAAGGCAGTATGCTTGTTAAAAGTCATCACCATTCTCTAATCTCAAGTACCCAGGGACACAATACACTGTGGAAGGTCACAGGGACCTCTGCCTAGGAAAGCCAGGTATTGATCGAGGTTTCTCCCCATGCGATAGCCTGAGACATGGCCTCGTGGGAAGGGAAAGACCTGACTGGTCTGTGCTGAGGAGGATTAGTGAAAGAGAAAGGCCTCTTTGCAGCTGAGATAAGATGAAGTCATCTGTCTCCTGCTTGTCCCTGGGAATAGAATGTCTTGGTGTAAAACCGATTGTATGTTCTATTTACTGAGATAGGAGAAAACCGCCTTAGGGCTGGAGGTGAGACCTGCTAGCGGCAATACTGCTCTTTAATCCACCACTGCTGTGTCTGTGTATGTGCACATCAAAGCACAGCACCTTTTCTTAAACTTAATTATGACACAGGCCTTTGTTCACATTTTCCTGCTGACTCTCTCCCCACTATTACCGTATTGTCCTGCCACATCCCCCTCCGAGATGGTAGAGATAATGATCAATATATACTGAGGGAACTCAGAGAATAGTGCCGGCATGGGTCTCTGTATGAGCACTGGTCCCCTGGGCCCACTTTTCTTTCTCTATACTTTGTCTCTGTGTCTCTTTCTTTTCTCAAGTCTCTCGTTCCACCAGACGAGAAACACCCACAGGTGTGGAGGGGCTGAACACCCCTTCACTGACTCTGATGTGGGAAACGATCCCAGGAGGCAGGAATAAGGGAAGGGGTGCCGCAAAGGAGGAGCCAATTCAAGGATGTGTTACTGAGTCAAGCACCTCCTAGAATCTTCTGAGGAGACTAAGAATGGCAGCTCAGGGCTGGGTGTGGTGACTCACATCTGTAATCCCAGCACTTTGGGAGGCCAAGGCAGGTGGATCACAAGGTCAGGAGTTTGAGACCGGCCTGGGCCAACATGGTGAAACTCTGTCTAAACTAAAGATACAAAAAATTAGCTGGGCATGTAATCCCAGCCACTTGGGAGGCTGGGGCAGGAGAATCGCTTGAACCCAGGAGGCGGAGGTTGCAGTGAGCTGAGATTGCGCCATTGCACTCCAGCCCAGACGACAGGGCGAGGCTCCATCTCAAAAGAAAAGACCAGCCTGGTCAACCTGATGAAACCCTAGTCTCTACTAAAAATACAAAAAATTAGCTGGGTGTGGTGGCAGATGCCTGTAATTCCAGCTACTTGGGAATTTGAAGCAGGAGAATCGCTTGAACCCAGGAGGCAGAGGTTGCTGTGAGCCGAGATTGCACCACTGCACTCCAGCCTGGGCAACAAAAGCGAAACCCCATCTCAAAAAAAAAAAAAAAAAAAGGCAGCTCAGAACTGCCAGGAGAAGAAAGGGAAAAGCCTGTACAGCTCATCTACTAACACCTTTAGTAAGGGTGCCCCACAGGTGCTTAACTCCCCTGCACTTCTGAGAATCCCCTGTGTCAGAGAATCCCTGGGGCAGGAAGCAAGAGGCTCCCGTCTGAGGTGGGACCCGTAGGGTCATCCCTGTGCAAAGTTAGTTGAAGCCTGTGTGAAAGAAGCCACTGCAGCACCCTTGGCCCAAGGTGTTAGTAGACGGCTGGGGTAAGAGGTGGGGCTGATGGCCGGGCGCGGTGGCTCAAGCCTGTAATCCCAGCACTTTGGGAGGCCGAGACGGGCGGATCACGAGGTCAGGAGATCGAGACCATCCTGGCTAACACGGTGAAACCCCGTCTCTACTAAAAAATACAAAAAACTAGCCGGGCGAGGTGGCGGGCGCCTGTAGTCCCAGCTACTCGGGAGGCTGAGGCAGGAGAATGGCGTGAACCCGGGAGGCGGAGCTTGCAGTGAGCTCAGATCCGGCCACTGCACTCCAGCCTGGACGACATAGCGAGACTCCGTCTCAAAAAAAAAAAAAAAAAGAAAAAAGAGGTGGGGCTGAGGCTATGATACAGGGACACTGTGTGGATATCTCTTTCACTCTTTTCCAATCACTTAGAAGAGTGGCCAGGATACAGTGAACACTCAGTGAATACTTACTGAATGAATGATGTCGCAGTCTAGTGGGGGAAAAGGCAAGCAGTGAGTTAAGAAAATCAAGCGGGTTGCAGGGGGTATATAATTGGGTAACTACAGGTTGCAGGGGGCCTCCAGCAGGAGCCTAGTTACTCTAGGGTAGGAGTGGGGATAGGACAGAGAAGACTTTCTGGAGCAGAGTCCCTAACCTGAAATATGGAAGATGAGCAGGAGTTAATTGCACAGCTAAGTACTTGCACATCTAAGTAAATGTATCAGTGATAAAATCATTGGTAATCATAGGTAATGCAGTGGCTCATGCCTGTAATCCCAACACTTTGGGAGGCCAAGGTGGAAGGATAGTTTGAGGCAAGGAGTTTGTGACCAGCCAGGGCAACACAGCGAGACCACGTCTCTACACAAAATAAAAAAATTAGCTGGGCGTGGTGGTTGGTGCCTATGGTCCCAACTACTCGAGAGGCTAGGGCAGGAGGGTCAGTTGAGCCCAGGAGCTCAAGGCTGCAGTGAGGTCATGTTCACGCCACTGTACTCCTGCCTGGGCAACAGAGGGAGGCTCTTGTCTCCCCGCCACGCCCCTCCCCAAAATAATAGGTAACATGTACAAAGCATTTTCCGTGAGCCAGACACCATGCTGCGTGCTTGAGGCTGTGTTAATTCATCCTTGTTATTTAATCCTAAGGCATGTGAACTGTTTTATCTGTTTTACCCAATGGAAACTCGAAGCTCAGAGAAGTCAAGTCACTTGCATTGACAGGGTAGAGAGAACCTCTTTCCTCCATTTTACACAGGGCAACTAAGGCCCAGAGCACGGCAGTGACTTGCTCATGGTCACAGAAAGCTAAGGGCTGAGCTGGGACTAGAATCCAGGTTTCCTGACTCTTGGGCTTGTGTTCCTGCTCCAGAGCAGGCCAGAGAGATAGGGGCTAAGGAGGAGAAGGGTGAATTAAACACAGCCAGGCTGAGATGGGTGGGCACTGCCTCCCCAGCTACTACCAGAAAAAGCTGAAGGCAGGCACCTGCAAGGCCCAGGAGATGGAAGCGGCCATAGGCCGGCTGCGGTTGCAGAAGAAGCTTCCCTATAACCCCCAGCAAGAAGAGAGCTCAGAAGTCCCAGAACGAAAGGTCCTCAGTATCCTCAGCCGGCTGAAGCAGCAGAACTATGGTGAGGCCCCTGGGCAGGGTGGGATGGGCCAGGGTTGGGGCTCTGCTGTCTTGCCCATCTGGCTTCCTCTCCTTGGGCCCTCAGGCAGCCAGGCCCAGGGAGCTGAGAGGCCAGTTTCCCACTTTGGGCTTAACTGTGTACATCGGAAAACGGCTGATAATCACTATTTTCCTTCTAGGCCTATGAAAATGGCCTCCTGCATTGGACTCCTCCCCTCCTGCCTTAGCCTGAGCACAGGTTGGTCCCATGAGTCAGGACCGAGAAAGAACAGCTGTAGAGACTGGCAATCCCAGCTGTTTACTGAGTGCCCACTGAGCTAGGCCCTTTGCAGATGCTCTGGAATTTAATACTCATAATCATGTATTCACCCCATTTTACAGATTAGAAAAATGAAACTGACCCGGGCATGGTGGTTCACGCCTGTAATCCCAGCACTTTGGGAGGCTGAGGTGGGCACCTGAGGTCAGAAGTTTGAGACCAGCCTGGTCAACATGGTGAAACCCCATCTCTAAAAAACTAGCCGGGCGTGGTGGCAAGCACCTGTAATCCCAGCTGCTCTGGAGGCTAAGGCTGGAGAATCGCTTGAACCTGGGAGACGGAGGTTGCAGTGAGCTGAGATCATGCCATTGCACTCCAGCCTGGGCAACAAGAGCAAAACTCTATCTCAAAAAAAAAAAAAAAAAAAAAAAAAGAAACTGATGAAGTTAAGCAACTTGTCCAATGCCCCTAGCTAGTGTGTTTTGGAAAGGGCTGTTTATATCCAGGTATGACCCCAAAACCTATGCTCTTTCCACTGGGCAAGCCTGCCTCCTTCCCCAGGTACCATTTATTAGACTCCTACTGTGTGCCAAGTAACAGGATAGGAGCTTTGCAGTCTTTCTAGAGTATGCCTACTAGACTTTGCCAGCACCCGTCACAAAGACCTCTGCTCCTTGTTAAGCTGTTACCAGCTCTTATTCTGTGTGCAGCACAGAGCTGAGTGCTTTGCCTATATTTCTCCTTTAATCTTCATCATCAACTCTTGTGAGGTGTGTACCACTATCACCTCCAGCTCAGAAGCTCAGAGAGGTTAAGTGACTTGCCCCAAAGTGCCTAGTCCATTATGTAGCAAAGCCAGGATTTCACCTCAATCTGCCTGCTTCCCAAGGCTGGACGTGCTCTGAAGCATTCCCCCTTCTGCCTCCTTCTTCACCAGCTCCCAACCTGCAGAGCCCCTATGCCCAGGTGCCCTGCATCCCGCTCTGCCCACGGATGGACAAGAAGATGGTCCACAGGAAGCCAACCAACCACTACGTGCAAGACCAGTGCACAACCCCTGGCCTGGATCCTGACATCCGTAGCCCCTTCTTCCAGTCACGATCTCAAGGAAACAGGTGGGTGCCCAGAGAAAGGGCCCCAGCCTAGGCCCTTCCAGATCCTTCCTTAAGAGGCCCCTGGCCTAATGCCTGGGAATCCATCTTTCTAAGAGACCATACCTGAGAGGCTGCTTATTCCAGGGAGGAGAAAGGGTGAAAGGCAAAGAAAAAAAACCTTTGTTGAGGGCCTGTGTACCCGGTAGATTGTTCCACTGAAGCCAGAGTGCTTCTGCTTTCCTGTGTCTGAGACTCAGTGGCACCTAACTGAGGGCTACGAGTTCCCTATGGTTCAACATTAGGACTAGCGGACTGTGCACCTGGGCAGAGGGGAGCGTCTCCTGCAGCAGTCCTCCTCCAGGCCGCTGGGGAAGGGTGCCCTGGACTTGGAATCAGGCCCCTAAGCCCGACTGCTGGGTCCACCATTTCTGAGGGGAGGCCGCCTCTCTCTCCTCACTTGGGCATGCACGGATGGTTCATGTACTGGCAGATAGGGAAAGGGCCAAATGTTTCCCACCCTTCTGCCCCATTCCCCTCCCCAGGGAACACAACTCTGACAGCAGAAAGTGGCCCAGCTCTGTGCCTTCTCGAACCCACTGACCCTCTGGAGGCCTGACTCTGGACAGTTGCTCAAGGCCTGCAGACAGATGGGCCACCAGACAGGAGCTGCTGCTGGAATTTGCTTTTGTGGCCTGGTAAGCTAATAAACACCAATAACTTCAGCCCCTGTGCCTCTTGCCAAGGAAGGTCCTCAAGCTGTCACCCCAGCCACCTCTGGGCTCTCAGAGTGTAGGGTTCCACCTCGAAGCCCTGCCCAGGGTTGGGGTTTCTGCTACAGGTGCCCCTGCATGCAAAGTCTTGACCTTCTGTGCCTTCTTAAAGCACCGGGCTAGGCCCCTCCTCAGAAGAGCGCTTCCCCCTCTGGACTGGGAGCCCCACAAAAGCAGCCATTCTCTCTCTCCACTGGCTCCAAGATAAGCCCTGTGTAAGAGCAGGAGGTGGCCTCTGCCATGGTCCCCCGACAGAGCCCCAGGACCCAGAGCTCTACTTCTCCGGGAGCCCTAAGGGGTGGGTCCTTTCCCCTCACCCCACATACCACCCAGCCTAGTATTTTACCAAAGACAGTCTTTCCCTGCAACTGGGCAGAGGGAAACCCCCCGGGGTTAAATAAGCGGCCACAGCAAGAGGTAGAGGGCGGGGACTGAAATGAGGACAAAGATCTGACAAGTTTAAAACATGTATTTAAAATACAATTTATAAAATGCTTAATCTGCCAACGGGGTGGGAGTGGGCAGCTGCCCGCTACACCAGCAGAGTAAGACTGCAGGGGTGCGGCCCTCCCTCCCATACCCTTCTGTTCAGACACCCAAGGGGCCCATGTGCACCCCTGGGATCACACAACCAGAAAACAGGACCCCAGAGGTTTCTTGAGTCTCTGCTTACCAGGGAGGCTGGGTGCAGCCCTGCCAGCCCATCCCTGAGCAGGGCACCCCCAAGATGGGGCAGAGCAGGGTATGGCTGGGCTGGCAGGGCAGGGCTGGGCGGGGCAGATGGGCTCTGGAAGGGGCTGATGGTAGCAGATAGGGTGTTGCCTCCTGCCTGCAGGTGGGGAGCACCCTGATTGAGTGGGCTGAGAAAGGTTGGTCACCAGGCCTGGACCCCCCAGCTCCTTTGGTTATAGGCTGACATCAGAGTAGTGGCTCATGGGAAGCGGTTAGCTGGAAGGTCTGAGGCCTGGCCCATGGGGTCAGGGAGGAGCTGGGGGAAGGGGACAGTACTGTGAAGGCAGATAAAGGGGCAGCAGCCTCAGGTTTCTGCCCCCCATCCCCCTGGGGTTTTCCAAGCCAAAGCCTGCAACTTACTTTAAAAAAGAAAAGGAAAAAAAGCACTTAGGAAAGTTACAGACAACTACCCCCAAAAAAATACCCTCCCACACACAAAATCCAAACCGTTTCCTCATCTCCCCTCCCGCCTCCCTCTAACACAATACAGTTTCCTGTTTTCTTTCTTTTTAAAAACGTTGCCTGCTACCTCTCCATTTGGGAAGCCCAGGGCATGACTGCTGGTGGGTGGTGACAGGCACACAGCGGGCAAAGCCCATCTTTGGCCAGAGGGAGGTGGGAGGACCAGTCCCTGCCACATCCTCAATCCAGACACCCACCAACCAGCCTTTACTTTGGCCCCTACTAGAGGGTAGTGGGGCAAGAACAGGTGGTCCCAATGGCTGGGCAACCAGCACTTCTGGCCTTCCCACCTGGACTACCTCTATACCCTTCTCCAATTAAAAGGAAAGTCTCACTTTGGGTGGGAAACCACTATTACATGAGGGATGGACACTATACATTTAGAATGTGGACACCTGGTTAGGGCAGTGGAACTATAAAGATAGCAGCCAATTTTCTTCCTTGCCTTCTCCTGAAGGTAATCCTCCCTCTCACTGACTGAAGCTCTGCTTCCAGCTCTGCTCGTGGGCAATGCCTGGCTTTACGGTTATAAGGCTGTGCTGTGGACTAGCTGCTGACTTGGCTGGCAGCTGGCGCTTCCTCCAGAGGGGAGGACGTGGTGGGACATGGCTTGCTGGGCCTGGCCCACCATTCCCACAGGGAACCAGCGGTGGAGTGAGCCTGTGAGACTCAGCTTGCCACCTTGGCCACCACGTGCTGCCCTCATCGCAAAACCACACCAACCACCCCGAAACGTATCTGCTGGTCAGGAGCAAGGAGGCCGTCTGGCTGGCTGAGGGATAAGGCGCAGTGCAATGGAAGGGATCAGGAAGCCTGAGAGGAACCAGGTACACACAGAGCCGCTCTGGGCAGCTGCCCTCTTAGTCTCTTCCACCTCAAGGAGCCAAAGCAAACCCCAGGCTCCAGGGACAGAGGATAAACTGCCTTCATTCCAGGCCCTCACTCTGGAAAAAGGGGTGATGGGAGCCTAGGCCTCTGAGGAACCAGTCTGTCATCAATCTTTGCAAAGCAAAGCTGTTCTTTTTCCAACTTTATTCAGAATGTTCTGCCTTCAAGGTACTGATTGCACACAGGAAATGTACCAGGTATAGTTACTGAGCTGGGGCCATCAATGGAGATGGAGCACTGCAGACCCCTAAGAGTTCAAGCCATGCTGGAGTGGGAAGACCTATCCACCTTCTGAATATACGAAGCAGAAGGCTCAGAGTCCTGGAGGCAGACTCTCTCCTGGTTTTCCTTGTGCCGATGGCAAAATACTAAACAAGTCTCCTCTCCTTCACTTCCAAGCCCAGGGATGCAGTCTCACTCCCTGGCGCTCTGCTCTCTTCTAGTAGTAAGCCTGGCTGGTAGGGAACCACCCTGAGGGGTATGGGAAGGGGAAGTCTGTTCACTTTCCCTATCTCCCAAAATACTAGAGGTGGGGTTGGCACCCTCCCCAGGCTCTCCGAGCCTACAGAGCTAGCCCAGTCTCCAGGCAAGGCCCAGATGCCCTGGGACTCAGCTCGGGGAGGGAGGTATAGGCATGGGGTGCTCATCTGTCCTGGCGGCTGCAGAGCCCTGCCCCTTTTCCGGGCGGCAGTAGGAATACAGAAGCTAAGCTCACCAAAATCCTATTGGTTAATGTTTCTAGTGAATTTCCCAGAAACATTTTTAAGTAGACTACCAAACTACCCTTTCTTAATTAAAAATTCGTTAAACCACTAAAACCCCTCCCATGCACTTTTTCTTGCAAATCAGATATTTGTATAAACAAACAAAAATAGGAAGAAAAAAAAAAAGAAAGGATATTTTCAAATGGAACTTACTTTTTAAGTGATGGAGACATGCACTTGGGGGTGGGTGGGTGTGAGTTTTCATTTGTGTTTTGAAATCCCAAATTAATGAGCATGATAAACTGTTATTGCTGGCACTGGCTTTACCCCAAGTGGCCAAGTGGCACTGTCTGACTCTCTGAGTCCTTGGTGGGTCCTCCCAACCTTCCCCTAACCCCCACCCTTTCCCTTTCCATTGACTTGGGACAGCCCTTGTCGATGAGCCAATCACAGTGGGAAGGGGGAGAAGGGGGGAGGTCACAGTGCATGGGGTTCAAGGTCACAGTGGGCGGAGCAAGGGGGATCACAGTGCAAGTAAGTCAGGTCGTTCCCTCTGCTCAAGTCCAGCTGTCTGCCACGGCAGTGCAACCCGTGGCAGACGACCCAGGAGGCGGTGACGGCAGCAACGGCGGCATCTTTTCTTGCCTGCATTTATCTGCGCTGTTTGAAGCCTTGTGACCCATCAGGACCCAAAGGCTGTCTGATCACATTATTGGGCTGCCTGCTGTCTTCGGGTTGGGAGATCCTGGTTGGCCTGAAAGGAAGAAAAGCAGAGGAAGGCCTAAAAAAGGATATAATAGATGTCCCCCATCATTTCTTTATTTTTTATTTATTTCTGAGATGGAGTCGCATTCTGTCGCCTAGGTTGGAGTGTAATGGCGCTATCTCCGCTCACTGCAACCTCCACCTCCCGAGTTCAAGTGATCCTTCCTACCTCAGCCTACCAGTAGCTGGGACTACTGGCAAACGCCACCACACCCAAGCTAATTTTTGTAATTTTAGTAGAGATGGGGTTTCACCACGTTGGCCAGGCTGGTCTTGAACTCCTGACCTCAAGTGATCCTCCCGCCTTGGCCTCCCAAAGTGCTGGGATTACTGCACCTGGCTTAGATGTCACCCATCTTAAAATCAACTGTCCTTGTAGCTGGGGCCCAAGTCACTCTGGCTCCACAAGTCTGCTTCTTTGGGAAGCTGACTCAGGACACCTCCAAGTTGAGAGGCCCCTGTGAGCAGGTAGGGTCGGTGGTACATGTTCACCTCCAGCAGCTACAGCATTCTTTCCCCCTGCTCAGCTGCCAGCATTCACTTGTAGGCAGGGGGAGTGCTCGAGGGCCCACTCTGCCCAGAGGCAGTGACCACGGACAGTACATGCTCTGCAGAACCATTTGGAATCTCCAGATGTTAGGCCAAGGTAAAGAGCTGGAATCAAGAGCTCAGCAGAGGGACACATCCCCTGCCACCCAATTCTTCCCTCCCACTCCTCTCCAAACTCTGTGGTTAATGGTTGACTCATATTACTCTAGGAAACTAAAGGAAGCACGCATTTTCCACCCTGGAAAGGTGAAGACTTAGAGGAGAAACAACAAAGAGAACAGGTATCTCTTCAAAATTATGAAGAGCTAGAAAGAAGGTATGCAGATTAGTTCTTCAAGTCCCAGGATGCCATGCCATAGTGGCCCCTCAAAGTCAGAAGGAGGCCGTCTTAATGCATACTGCTTGATTAGGAAGTGACAAACTTATATAATACAACCTCTAATACTGCAGAGAAAAAAATGCCAAGAGTAAAAAGGAATTTAGAAAATTCACAAAAACATCACAGCGGGCATACTGGAGACCCAGAAAATATAACCAAAGCACTTATCTGGGCACTTTCCACTCTGCCAGCCCAGGTTCTCGACATCCTATGCTCATTTACTCAATGAATTGCACAACACTTTGATAAGGTTGGTATTATTATCCCATTTTTTCAGATGAGAAAACTAAGGCCCAGAGAGGTCAAGTCGTTCTAAATTAAGAAGAGGTAAGAGGCAGATTTTGACACAAGCTCATCCATGCCTTTACTCTCAATGCAACACTGCCCCCTGGTGACTACCAACCGCAGAGGCAGCATGCCAGCAAACTGCCACCTCCTGATAGACTTTGAGAGCCGTGCCCAGCCAATGAAGC